CGAACAAGTCATTTTTTTTTGTGAGAACGGATTTTTCAGCATAACTGGAACAGAATTAATTCGGAAATTAGTATTCGCTTGGGCACAACTAGTGGTTGCTACCGGCCAATAATTCCTTGTTGTAAATTTTCACTTTTTGAAAGTACAGGGGGATTGCTTACTTGTATAATCGTGGGTAAATGTGCATGAGAAATTCAGAGCTTTGAGAAATCCCCATGTGTAGTTAATTCTAGACACATTTCCTTTTACGGATTTGTAATTGTTCTACCTAATTGTGCGTATTATTACTAGTTGATGATCTAAAGAACCAGACAAGTGGCAGGGCGACTTTATTCGTTTGGCACTTGCTCTCGGATGAATGTAGGCGGAGAAGTGAACCATCAACGGACAGACTAGTAGCTGATAGTCTGAATCACTTAAACAGCAACCGTAGAAAAGTTGCCAGCTGTACGATAAGCTGATAAAACTGTCCAGATTATATAGTACCGAAAAAAAAAATAGTTATTTTAACAGTTTTTTGTTGGCGCACCGTCTACAGATCAGTTTTTTTTCTGTTTTTTTAGCACATCAGTATCGCAATTTCGAGAATTAGCATCAATATTTGATGCAGACGATAATGGTGAGGAGCGACGTGCCCGACAGATTCTTGAAGAGGTTTGAAAAGTTGCAGATTGTGTGTATAATAGAGATATTAATTGTAATGCATAAGTATGTGAACGTATGTGTAGATATTAAAAAAATATGAAAATATGTATTAGAAAAATATATTTTTAAAAATTAGATGAACAAGAATGTTTCAATCTATCAAGCCGTATACATTCCTATTCAATACCACAACTGGACCCATCGGTACGAGGGCTTTGTTGTGGATAAAATAAATATAAATTAAACTAAATTTTATAAGAAACTAAGTCATAATTTGTAAGGAAGTAGGTTATAATTTTAAAAGATGGGGAGGGGATAAATTTGAGAAGTAATAAAACGAGAGAGAGAAAAAAAGCTTCGAATGTCCGGATAATAAATAAATTTAGGAACCACCAATTAATGGTGTTGGTGCAATTTGTA